TTTTTTTGGGCTGCAGTGGTTTCCTGCCAAGTTCGTTTTTCGGAGCGCGGCCCCTGACCGCAACCATCGTCAAAAACAGTGCCTCCCCCTTAACCCCCGCCATGAAAATAAATAATAATAAAAGACCGAGGGAGAAGCGGCGCAGCCGCCCCCCCCCACCATGAAGACCACACCCCCCCAAAAAAAGAGAGAGAGAGAGAGAGAGAGAGAGAGCAGGAGAGTGAGAAGAGAGAGAGAGAGAGGAGAGAGAGAGAGAGAGAGAGAGAAGAGAGGAAGAGAGAGCGAGAGACGAAGAGAAAGAGAGAGAGAGAGAGAGAGGAGAGAGGGAGGGAGAGAGCGAAGCGGCGCAGCCGCTTCTCTTTTTTTTGCATGGCCCGGGCGCAGTTTGACGCCTCGCGGCCATCGCGCGAGACTCAACGATTCGAGCCCCCTCTGGAAGTTCCGCTAGTGGAGTCGCAGGAGCAGCCGCCCAGGCGCCAAGTTGCGTTTGCGATGGATTGGGGGGTGGGCTTTGCTACGGCGGGGCAGTAGTAGTAGTAGTAGTAGTAGTAGTAGTAGTAGTAGTAGTAGTAGTAGTAGTAGTAGTAGAAGTAGAAGTAGAAGTAGAAGTAGTTAGTAGTAGTAATAGTAGTGGTAGTAGTAGTGGTAGTAGTAGTAGTAGTAGTAGTAGTAGTAGTAGTAGTAGTAGTAGTAGTAGTAGTAGTAGTAGTAGTAGTAGTAGTAGTAGTAGTAGTAGTAGTAGTAGTAGTAGTAGTAGTAGTAGTAGTAGTAGTAGTAGTAGTAGTTAGTAGTAGTTAGTAGTAGTTAGTAGTAGTAGTAGTAGTAGTAGTAGTAGTAGTAGTAGTAGTAGTAGTAGTAGTAGTAGTAGTAGTAGTAGTAGTAGTAGTAGTAGTAGTAGTAGTCGTAGTAGTAGTAGTAGTAGTAGTCGTAGTAGTAGTAGTAGTAGTCGTAGTAGTCGTAGTAGTAGTAGTAGTAGTAGTAGTAGTAGTAGTAGTAGTAGTAGTAGTAGTAGTAGTAGTAGTAGTAGTAACAGTAGCAGGAGCGTTTCTTCTCCCCCCTCTTTCCCTGATTTTTCTCGAGGGCGGGGAGAACTGACCTTCGCTGTGTTTCTCCCTTTGGGAGGAGGGTCAAGAGAGGTGACTTGCACCGTTTGCCCCTCCCCCCCTGACCTGTCCAGTTCTCTTGGCCCCCCTCCTCCCCCCTCCTCCCGGGAACAGGGCCAAGAGAATTGACCTGTACTGTTTTCTTCCTTCGCGCTTCATTGTTGCGCCGACGATTACGTCGGGACAGTAAAGCAATGGTCAGGGGACGCTGTTGCCACCATTTCTTTTAATCATTGTGGAGGGTGTTTTTAAATTGTTCATTTTTCGCACGGAATATTTCGTGTAACTCGAGGAAGCGCTTAAGAATCCCCCCCCATTCGGCGAAACGATTACATTCCCCGCGCCCGAGGAGGAGAATTGGCCAAATCGCCTCAGACATCCTCAAATTTCTTCAAAGAGTTAGCCAAATCGCCTAAGACATCCTCACATTTCTTTGTAGAATTGCCCAAATCGCGTGAGACATCCTTACGTTTCTTATAGAATTGACCAAATAGCTTCAGACATCCTTACATTTCTTATAGAATTGACCAGATCGCCTGAGACTGCTCACATTTCTGAGTAGAATTTGCGAAATCGCCTGAGACATCCTCACATTTCTTTATAGAATTTGCCCAAACGCTCAGACATCCTTACGTTTTATATATATATATATATATATATAATTGACAAAATCGCTTGAGACATCCTCGCATTTCTTATAGAATTGATTAAATCGCCTGAGACAACCTGACGTGTCTTTATAGAATCGGCCAAATCGCTTGAGACGTCCTGACATGTCTTTGCAGAATTGGCCAAATCGCTTGAGACACCCTTGTATTTCTTAAAGAGTTGGCCAAATCGCCGAAGACATCCTCACGTTTCTTTGTAGAATTGCCCACATCGCGTGAGACATCCTGACATATCTTAGTAGTAGTAGTAGTAGTAGTAGTAGTAGTAGTAGTAGTAGTAGTAGTAGTAGTAGTAGTAGTAGTCGTAGTAGTAGTAGTAGTAGTGGTCGTCGTCGTAGTAGCCATCGTCGTCGTCGTATTCGTCGTTGTCGTCGTCGTAGTCGTAGTCGTTCTCGTACTCGTACTATTCGTAATAGCGCTAGGCTTGATGAGAATTTCATGGAACGCTTATGTGTACAATCAGTTGGGGGACCCCGCCTCCCGTTTTCAAGATTTGTTTCAGCTTTCACTTAGCGTGGAACCTAGCGTCGAAACTCTGCCCCAGAAAGCGATACACGCTATACATAGATACCTGACCGTATCCTTATCCTTATCCTTATCCTTATCCTTATCCTTATCCTTATCCTTGTCCTCGTCCTTGTCCTGGTCCTTGTCCTTGTCCTTGTCCTTGTCCTTGTCCTTGTCCTTGTCCTTGTCCTTATCCTTATCCTTATCCTTATCCTTATCCTTATCCTTATCCTTATCCTTATCCTTATCCTTATCCTTATCCTTATCCTTATCCTTATCCTTATCCTTATCCCTTATCCTTATCCTTATCCTTATCCTTATCCTTATCCTTATCCTTATCCTTATCCTTATCCTTATCCTTATCCTTATCCTTGTCCTTGTCCTTGTCCTTGTCCTTGTCCTTGTCCTTGTCCTTGTCCTTGTCCTCCTTGTCCTTGTCCTTGTCCTTGTCCTTGTCCTTGTCCTTGTCCTTGTCCTTGTCCTTGTCCTTGTCCTTGTCCTTGTCCTTGTCCTTGTCCTTGTCCTTATCCTTATCCTTATCCTTATCCTTATCCTTATCCTTATCCTTATCCTTATCCTTATCCTTATCCTTATCCTTATCCTTATCCTCCTCTTCCTCCTCCTCCTCCCGCTCTCCGCCGACGGCTCCAGTGAGGGTATCCCACTCGCCCGTGCCGGCACACTTCTCGCATCTGCGGCCCGTGCCCCTGAGGCACTCCACTCTTGCGGCCTCGGCGGGCAGGTTTGAATGCGGGCGGCCGCCCCCCTGTCCGTCGCGGCACACCAACTACGCGCACGGGTGCCCGCGCTGAACTCAGCATGCCTCTGCGTGCTCGCTCCGCTGCCCCAACCGTCGAAGCGTTGACGTAAGGAGCACTGATTGAGGAAAGAGGCCCCTTTTTTTCAATGAGTTAAACGTCGATTTCCCCTGGGAAACCTTAGGACAACCGAAGGCAAACTGCAAAACAAACCAGCAACACCGAGACACCCCCCCAACGAAAAGGTTCCTTCTTCAGCGCCCCGGCTGTACTCACGCTGCCCTGTGGCGTGCCAGGAGGGGGACATGCCCTGCGCCACGCGCAGCTGCAGAAGGTTGGGCCCATCGCCAGGCCTCCATGATCGGTGGTGGGAGGGACGATGGGCGAGGGAGGAGGAGGGATGCTGGCATCGCGCAACAGACCATATCAACGACGGCAGCGTCGGAGGTCCAGACGCAGCTGAAGCGGAGGCCAACCCTCGAGGTGAAGAGGACGCGCGCGGCTGTGCCAGAGGAGGTTGTCGGGGTCGGTAGGCTCCAACGCAGTCGCTGCTTGGGCAATCGGGTGTTGCTCTTCCGCTGGTTTTAGGAGCTTTCCAGCCGCTCTGGAGAGGTTCTGCAGGCATGTCGCGCTATCCATCCGCCGCCTTGAAGGAATGGAAGGTGGGGGGGCCAGGACCGAGGAAGCGCAGACATGGACTGAGGCGCGTGGATTGAAGCGACGGGTCCAGTTTCCGTACGAGATTTGGCACGCCCCGTCGCCTAGCTAGGAGGCACAGATGGGCCGCCCCCCCTCCCCCTGGCCACCTCTTGCGCGCCGCCAGCAGGAGGTACGAGGTTGGTAACCCAGAGCGGCGCGAGCCCGTGCCCGCGCATGATTTCGCTGGTTGCTGCTATAGCCTCCGTGTGGGGAAGCGGATCCAATCCTGTATCGCAGCGGGAGCAGAAATTGGTGGGCGTTTGCGGCGGGGGGGGGGTATAAGGGGAACAACGAGTGACGTAAGCATACAAACTCGAAGGTCCGCGCGGATTCCTCGGATCGGCGCTGGGGCCCCTGGCGGCGCATCCGGCGCCGTGGCGCGCGAGGTCCAGCGCCGATCCGGGAAACCCGCGCGGACCTCAGAGTTTTTTATGCTTATGTCACTTGTTGTTCCCCTAGGGTGCAGTCGAGACTGATTAGTAGCCCGACCCTGCGTCCTGCGCTTCCCGACCCATGCCTTGTAACATTCCTGTGGCAGTGTGGCTCTGGGGAGGGTCTTGTGTCCTCTCGCGTGCCCTCTCCAATCAACCCCGACTGTAGGGGGAACAGGAGGTAAGAGGTTGGTAAGCTTCGCGCTGTGCGCTCTGTGGGGGCTGCCTGCGCCGCGCGGGCGGCGGAGGAGCCCCCCCACCCGGGTGTCCGCCTCGGTCTGGCGCTTGTCCTGGGCAAGCTCGTGAGGGCGGGCTCTCTTTCTCGGCCCCTGGCTCACGAATCGGCGCGGCGGGGGCCTGTCCCGGGAGCTGGCCCACAGCTCGAAGTCCGTCGTCCTCCCGACCTCGTCCTTCGCCTCTTCCTCTCCGTGCCTCTTCCTCTCCGCGCCCCGCTGCGTGCCGCCACGCTCCTCGCGCGGCTCGCTCCCTCGTGTGGAGCTCCCTCTGCGCCCCCAGAGGCACGGGGAGCGCTCCCCGCGGCCCCGGCAGCCGAGCCCCGCGCTCCGCCACCCGCTTCGTGCCCCTCCGGGGAGCTGCCCCCCCTTGGCCCCAGCGGCACAGCTCGCATGCCGCCACCCCGCCGAATTCGCCCCCCCCCCCCCCCCCCCCCCACACCCCCCCACACACGTTTCGTGCCCCTCGAGGCGCTCCCTCTGCAGCCCCAGCGAACACAGTCCGCGTGCCGCCTCGCCGCCCACTTCGGCACTCTCCTCGCCCGTCTCGTGCCACGCAGGCCGGCTGCGCCTGCGGCCTCAGCGACAAAGTCCGCATGCCAGCACCCCGCCCATTGTGGCACGCCCCTCACGCGGATCGTGCCCCGCCAGGGATGCAGCGCGCCTCTGTGCGCTGGTTCCGCAGGACAATGTCCGCACGACCCCCGCGGCGCGCCATGCATGAAGAGAGGGGAACGCCCTGCGCTATACGCAGCTTCCTAGGGTCGGGCCCTTCGCCAGGCTAGTCTTCATTGAGGCGCGGCTGAAGCCTATCACTGGGGGCTGACCAGGGGTCTTCTGCGTGAAGTCTCTTTCGCATCACCGACCCGCTTCGCGTAACCAGCAAGTCAAAACAAAACTCATGGAATTTCGATGTGTTGATGTTTTGTGGACATGAGTGTCCTGTTTGGCCGACCCCTATCTCGTGCGGATTCGCACTAATCTGCTCCCTGCTGGTTACACAGTCGCTGCTGGCTGGAACTACTACTTTGGTTTTACGTTGCAAGTCTGCCTGCCGCTTAGTGGATGATTTGATCCAGGTCTGGCAGACAGACGATGCGAGGAGGAGGGGGAGGGGGATGAGTAAGAGCAGGAGCAGGCAGAGGCGAGCTGCTATTGTTGGTAGCGGTGGAGGATGTGAAGGGTAACGTGAACGATGCGGGAGCAGTGAGGACAAGGGTCACGTCGGTACCCAATCTGGGGCCTCGCGCCCTTCCCTCATGCCGTCCTCCTGCTGCTGCTCTTGCTCCTTTCGGTACGATCTGAACGGGGTGCGAAAAGAAAGGCGACGACGACCGACAGCAGCTCCTGTTCATTTGCATCAGCAATTTCTGTCTGTGTCTCCGCGGACGGTGTCCATCTGAGACAAGCATGTGCATGCACAGCAGCGGCTGCTGCTGGATTTGGACAACATGTGCTGCTGGGCATTGTGCCACTTGTTTCCGAACCCACCACTCTGGGCATGCCGACCCTTTGCTTCGTCTCAGTGCCACGGGCAGTGCGTCCCAGCACCGGCGTCCGCCGAGGATCCTGGAGAGCCAGCTAGAGGCGCTCAAAGACGACCCGCACCTGCAGCTGATGCAGGCAGTGGGCTCGGAGGGGCGCGGGGGCCAGGCACTCCAGAGGCTCTGCAGGCCTCGGCACGGCGCCGCCCAGGAAGCCAGACTTGCGCCCAGAATCGGTACGCTCGAAGTGGGTACGGGTACGGAAAGAATGAGGACGACGGTTTTGACAGCGAGATGTGTCTTTCATTCTCTGGCGCGTCACTGTCGTTACCGGGCCCCCCCCCTCCCCCCCAGGTAGCGGTCACGATTGTAAGTATTGGGAGGGCTTGGACTCCCCGAGAGGAGGAGGAGGAAAAGGAGGAGGAGGAGGAGGAGGAGGAGGAGGAGGAGGAGGAGGAGGAGGAGGAGGAGGAGGAGGGGGAGGAGCAGGAGGGGGATTAGGAGGAGGAGGAGGATGAGGAGGAGGAGGAAGAGGAGGAGGAGGAGGAGGAGGAGAAGGAGGAGCAGCAGCACCAGCAGCGGCAAACGCAGCATCAACAGCAGCAGCCGCATGATGATGCTGATGATGCTGCTGATGCTGATGTTGCTGATGATGTTGACGATGACGATGATGATGATGATGATGATGATGATGATGATGATGATGATGATGATGATGATGATGATGATGCTGCTGCTGCTGCTGCTGCTGCTGCTGCTGCTGATGATGATGATGATGATGATGATGATGATGATGATGATGATGCTGATGATGCTGCTGATGATGATGATGATGATGATGATGATGATGTCGTTGATGATGATGCTGATCGTGATGCTGATGATGCTGATGATGGTGATGATTCTGAGGCTGATGCTGATGCTGATGATGATGCTGATGATGCTGATGATGATGCTGATGACAATGATGCTGCTGCTGATGATGATGATGTTGAGGATGATGCTGCTGCTGCTGCTGATGATGCTTACGATGCTGATGATGAGGATGATGATTATTATGATTGTGATAACGGTAACGATGATGCTGATGCTCATGATGCTGCTGCTGATGATTATTATGATGATGCTGATGCTGCTGCTGATGATGACGATGATGATGATTTTTAATAGTAGGATTGTTATTAGGATGATTATGGTGATGATGGTGCGGAGGAGGAGGATGAGGAGGAGGAGGAGGAAGAGGAGGAGGGAGGAGGAGAAGGAGGAGAACGAGGGGGAGGAGGAGGAGGAGGAGGAGGAGGAGGAGGAGGAGGAGGAGGAGGAGGAGAGGGGAGAGGAGGAGGAGGAGGAGGAGGAGGAGGAGGAGGAGGAGGAGGATGAGGAGGAGGAGGAGGAGGAGGAGGAGGAGGAGGAGGGGGGTGCAGGAGGAGGAGGAGGAGGAGGAGGAGGAGCAGGAGGAAGAGGGGGAGGCGGAGGAGGAGGAGGAGGAGGAGGAGGAGGAGGAGCTGCAGCAGCAGCAGCAGCAGTAGCAGCAGCAGCAGCGGCAAACGCAGCATCAACAGCAGCAGCATGACGATGACGATGATGATGATGATGATGATGATGATGATGATGATGATGATGATGATGATGATGATGATGATGATGATGATGATGATGATGATGATGATGATGATGATGATGATGATGATGATTATGATGATGATGATGATGATGATGATGATGCTGATGCTGCTGATGTTGATGATGATGATGATGATGTTGATGATGCTGATGATGATAATGCTGCTGATGATGATTATGATGTTGATGAGGCTGCTGATAATGATGATGATTATGATGATGATGATGATGCTGGTAATCGTGATCATGGTGCGGTGGAGGAGGAGGAGAAGGAGGAGGATGACGAGGAGGAGGAGGATGAGGAGGAGAAGGGGGAGGATGAGGAGGAGGAGGAGTATGCAGAGGAGGAGGAGCATGACATGGTGTTGTTGTCGTTGTCGTTGTTATCGTTGCTGTGGTTGGTGGTTTGTCGGTGTTCCTGTTGCTGTTGCTGCTGTTGTTGTTGTTGGTGTCGTTGTTGGTGGGGTTGTTGTTGTTATTGTTGTTTTTGTGCTGTTGTTGGCGGTGTTGTTGTTGTTGTTGTTGTTCGTGTTGCTGCTGATGTTGTTGTTGTTCGTGGTGCGTAGTGTTGTTGATGTTGCTGCTGTTGTTGCTGGTATTACCGCTGCTGTTTTTTTCTGTCACTGTTGTTGTGGATGCTGTAGTTATTGGTGCCGTTGTCATTGCGGTTGTTGTTGGTGTGTTTGTTGTGGGTGTTAATACTCCTGTCTTTGTTCGTGGTGTTGTTATGGTTGTTGCCGTTGTGATTGTCGGTGTTGTTGGTGGTGTTGTTGGTGGTTTTGCTGTTGCTGTTGCTGTTGCTGTTGCTGTTGCTGATGTGGTTGTTGTAGGGGTTGGTGTTGTTGGCTGTTGTTGTTGTTGGAGGAAGAGGAGGAACAGCATCATCAGCAGCAGCAGCGACAGCAGGAGGAGAAGGAGGAGGAGGAGGGGGAGGAGGAGGAGGAGGACCAGTGTAAACCCGAGAGTCATCAATGATGTTGGAGTAAACCCTCCCTCCAAGCTCCCTCTTCATAGGTCCCTACAACGGTCCATTTCCATTGATAGAACTGGCTCGTTGGAAGGCACCCGTTTGACTACCCCGAAGCATGTTAAAACATTTTTCTTGGGATTCCAACACCACGGATCAACTGGACTGTTGCGTCTTGAACCCCAGTCTTAGGACTTCAACACAGAGAATCAACGCAACTGTTGCACCCGCATAACCCTGAAGCCTTCCAGAACGCCATCTCTGGTACGTTGGTAATGGGAATCCGTGAAAACCTTGCAGCTTCTTAAAATGAATGTGCGCGGCGCTGAGGCGAGAACCACATGTTGAAACCGAGCCGCCCTCAATCGTTGAAGTTCTTGTGCATTTTTTAAACGAATGTGCGTGACGCTGAGGCGAGAGCCACATTTTGAAAACGACTCGCCCTCAATCCGTGACATTCTTGCAAAGGTTGAGAACGAATGTGCGCCGCGCTAATGCGAGAGCCAGATTTTGAAAACCACTCGCCCTCAACTCGTGAAGCTCTTCCAATCTCTAACACATGATTTTGAATGTGTGCCGCGCTAAAGCGAGAGACACATTTTGAAAACGACCCGCCCTCAACCCGTGAAACTCTCGCAACTTTTAAAACGAATGTTCCTTGCGCCATGGCGAGAGCCACATTTTGAAAACCACCCGCCCTCCAGCCGTGAAGCTCTGGCCAACTCTTAAATTCACAGGCATAAATGGTGAGGAAGTCTCAGGCGAAACGCTCGGCTCGCTCTAAAAACTGGCCTCGGGGTGCGACAGGGATAAGTTATTTATAAGGAGAAGGAATGGAGGATACCGAGCCGCAGCAGCAGCAGCAGGAAGAGGATGAGTAGGATGAGGGTGATGATGATGATGATGAGGAGGAGGAGGAGGAGCAGCAGCAGCAGCAGCAGCCGCAGGAGGAGCAGGAGGAGGAGGAGGAGGACACGGACGCGGAGGAGGAGGAACAGCAGCAGCAGCAGGATGAGTATGATGATGATGATTCTGATGCTTATAATGACGATGATTTTTTTTGTATGGTGACGATGGTGATGGCGATGGTGATAGTGATGCTGACGATCATAACGATGACGATGATCATGACAATGATGCTGCTGCTGATGATGATGATGATGATGATGATGGTGATGATGATGATGCTGATGAGGAGGAGGAGGAGGAGGAGGAGGAAGGAAGGGGAGAAAGAGAAATCACAGCAGCAGCAACATGAGGAGGAGGAGGAGCAGGAGGAGTAGCAGGAGGAGGAATAGGAGGAGAAGGAGGAGGAGGAGAAGGAGGTGGAGCAGGAGCAGCAGCAGCAGGAAAAGGAGGAGGAGGAGGAATAGGAGGAGCAGGAGGAGGATGGCGAGGAGGAGGAGGTTGAGCAGGAGCAGCAGCAGCAGCAGTGGCAGCAGCAGGATCATGATGATGATGATGATGATGATGATGATGATGATGATGATGCTGATGCTGATGATGATGATGATGATGGTGATGGTGATGGCGATGGTGATGGTGATGGTGATGGTGCTGGTGATGATGATGACGATGATGATGATGATGATGACGATGATGATGATGATGATGATGCTGGTGCTGATGATGATGACGCTGCTGATGATGATGCTGATGCAGATGATGATGCTGATGATGCTGATGCTGATGATGCTGATGCTTATGATGATGCTGATGGTGATGACGGTGATGATGATGACGATGATGATGATGATGATGATGATGATGATGATGATGCGGATGATGATGATGTGGATGCTGATTATGATGCTGATACTGCCGCTGATGATGATGAAGAGGAGGAGGAGGAGGAGGAGGAGAAGGACGAGGATGAATCTGATGATGATGATGACGATGATGATTCTGATGATGATGATGATGATCATGATGATTATGCTAAGGATCATGATGATGATGATGATGCTGATTATGATGATGATGACGATGGCGACGATGATGATGCTGCTGCTAATGATGCTGATGATGATGATTATGATGATGCTGATGATGCTGATGATGATGCTGATGATGATGATGATTATGATGATGATGAGATGATGATGCTGATGTGTGATGATGATGATGATGATGCTGATGATGATGATGATGATGGATGATGATGATGGATGAGGAGGAGGAGGAGGAGGAGGAGGAGGAGGAGGAGGAGGAGGAGGAGGAGGAGGAGGAGGAGGAGGAGGAGGAGGAGGAGGAGGAGGAGGAGGAGGAGGAGGAGGAGGAGGAGGAGGAGGAGGAGGAGGAGGAGGAGGAGGAGGAGGAGGAGGAGGAGGAGGAGGAGGAGGAGGAGGAGGAGGAGGAGAAGTAGGAGGAGGGCGGGGAGGAGCTTGCCGCTAAGGTGGAGCCTGGCGCGGGCGGGTCCCCGGCCCGCCGCGTGCTGGACGACGGTGGCGCAGACGAGCGTCCGGCGGACGTCTCCGCGCTCCCCGAGCTCTCCCGCGCCACCAGGGCCGACGGCCCGGGCCTCAGAGCGGAGGCCAATGGCAATGTTAGGGCGGGTTCGGGGTGGGGGGGGGGGTAGGCTCGAGGTTCGAGGCTCCCCAGCCTCGGTTCGAGGTTCGAGGTTCGAGGTTCGAGGGCTCGAGGCTCGAGGCTCGAGGTCGAGGGCGTTTTCGTTGGTTCTCGTCGGCTTCCCAGCCTCTGAAGCCTTCCAGCGGTTGCGCCTCGGCGGGAGCGTTCTGGGGGTGCCTCGGATCGTCCTGCCGCCGGAGGCCCGAGTTATGACCTAAAAGCCAAGGGGGAAACGTCAGGGGGGATGGGCTCAGTGGGGGGGCGCATCTCCCCCAGTCGCCCGTTGATCGCCGCTAGAGACCCGAAAGCCCATCCCGCCCAGGAGCGTGCGGATCCGCAACTGGGAGCCTACCGCCGACCTCTCGGCGATGTATCGCCGATGGAACTCCCGTCCCGCTCTATTGACCCGTCTCGGGGTGCGACAGGAAAGAGTTTTTCATACGGAAGGGGGATGGAGGAGGAGGAGGAGGAGGAGGAGGAGGAGGAGGAGGAGGAGGAGGAGGAGGAGGAGGAGGAGGAGGAGGAGGAGGAGGAGGAGGAGGAGGAGGAGGAGGAGGAGGAGGAGGAGAATGATGAGGAGGAGGAGGAGGCGGAGGAGGAGGAAAGAGGAGGGGAGGAGGAGACGGGAGGGAGGTAGGTTTCGCATGCTTTTTGAGGCCTTAGGCGGGTCTTGAATCTTGAAGGTTGCAGGGGGGCTCCGTGCTGCCTGGGCCCACCCGCTCCGCTAGGGTGCACAGAGTGGTCAGTGGCACCTCCTGGTCTGAGGTGAGCGTTGCCAATGACGTTCGCGGAGGCAACGCCCCCCCGCCATCCCGCTGCCGCGCACTCCCCTGTGCTGGCCGGGGTCGTGGGGGCCCTCCCCTCCCCCCGCTAATTCGGTGCAGGTGGCCTGTCCTGGGCACGGAGCGTCGGCGCCCGCTCGCTCGGTCAGCGCCCGCCGGACAAAAAAAAATGCAGGGGGGCTCTGGGAGGGAATCCCAGGTTCTCCCCCTCTTCCCGCTCTACACTCGCACAATACGACTATCGCTCTCGTCTCTCCCCCGGAGATGTGCTGGGAGTGGCGCGCCCCCCGCGGCGCATCGTCTTTTACACAGGATTTGTCCGAGTGGGTTGTTCTTGCTTGCTTTATCCTACCCGAGCATTTTCGGTCTCGCCAACATGGCGCTCCCGCTGCAGCGTGGGCCTCATTTCGGGATCGTCGCTTCGCTCCCCTGGTTCAGAATGGCGCTCTCGCCCTAGCGCGGGCACTCCTTGTGGATCTGAATCGTTCCTCACCGTTGTCCCCCTCTCCTGTCTCCCCCTCCACCTTCCCCTCGTCCTTCAGCTCCTCCCGCTCCTACCACTCCAGTTCCTGCCGCTGCTGTTTGTCCTCGTCCTCCTCTTTTTCCTCCTGCCCATCCTCCTGCTCACCAGCCACCTCCTCCTCCAATGTACGCAGCTCCCCCCTCTTCGATTGCGCATAACACCATGGGGGCCTTTTTGGAGTCCGATCCGCGGTGGCTCGCGTCGGCGGATCGAGAAACATCAGCGCAATGGGGGGGGATGGGAGGGGGGGGGGTATGTAGGATGTCAGATGTGGCGTGAGCGCACCCAGCTTGCCCCCCCTCTCTCTCCCCCCGCCCTCTTCTTCTCACCGACGGGGTTGGGGAGGACCCAGCTTCCCAACATCTTGAAGCATACCGAGGCCGTGCTTTTTTACGTTCGCGATGCCGGCATCTGGCGGCCGTCCTCGCGCGCCCCGGTCTCACCAGAGAACGCCCCGCGGCGAGAGAGTGGTCCGATGGGATGTGTCGGGAGTTCGAGGGCTCGCGTTATGCAATCAATTGTCAGAACGCCAGAGGTCTGGGGATGAGGAGGAGGAGGAGGAGTTGGCGGAGGCAGAGGCGGCAGAAGGAGCAAGAGGAGGATGAGAAGGAGGGGTGCCAGACCTCTACATGATGCGTGTACGCCCCATCCCCAGATCTCCGATGGCTATCTGTTTTCGAGATGTGCCCCCTCCCCCCCTCTCCCCCCGGACCTCTCGACCCCCTCCTGGGGATAATTTTCTTCATCCATTCTGGCCTTTTTACAGGCCTGGGGCTCGACATATTGTTTCCCGGCGCCCAGAACCGTAAAGACACTGCTTGCAGGTGATCTCTCGCCTCCAATCCCGAGCTCCGCCTGAAAAGTTAGGCCGCTCAGTAAAGGGGGGGAACTCGGTGATGCACCCCGCAGGACGCACCGCTATCTAGGATAGGCGCCCCCCCGTCGTAGTTTAGCCTCAAATGTTTGACCCACTCGAAAGCCCCACGAAGTCGGGAATTGGTGCCGTCATACCCACCGTGAACTCACCGTCAGTTGTCGTCTCGATCTGATCGGTCTGCCGGACGTCGAGGATCCCCGCCCTCTCGGCCTCAGGCTCGGCGGGCCCAGGCGGCGTGAGGTGCACCTGCACGGCGTGAAGTTCGCGGGTCTCCCGCGCGTTCGCCGTCGCCTCTCGTCGCTGCTCGCCTTGCCGAAGCCCCGTCGGTGATCCCCGCGCTGGTGCTGCCCCGCTCCTCGTGTGCATCACCAAGGCTCGCCTACACTCAAGACGCTGAGATGAGGATCTATGTGGGCTCTGGAGGGGCTCGGGTGTTCGGGCCGGTCCTTAGAGAGTCGGGGAACCTTATTCTGGCCAGGGCTCGCCGTGGCCACAAAAGCCCCTTCGCCCCGTATTTGGCATTCCTGCTGGCAGCGCGATGACTGCACCCGATGCCCTGTCGGTGAGCCCCGCGCCGGTGCTGCCCCGATCCCTTGCATCGCCAAGGCTGGCCCCGCGGCCTCCGACGCCGTGTTTTTTGTTTGTGTGCTCGTTGTTGTTTGCTGGTTTTCATTTCGAGAGAAAGAACTAGTGCTGATCTCCCCTCGACGGTGCCCGTTGTCTTTTCAATTTACGTGCTCCTCCTGAGGCTCGCACCTGGTTTTTACAAGGGAAAGTCTTGACGCACAGACTGCGATGTTGGCCCCCGAGCTACAACAGCAACAGCAACAACAGCAGCAACAACACCAACAGCACCAGTCATTGTGGGACTGTTCGCTCTTGCCTGCTCGCGTGCCTTTCAACACGTATATCCCAACCCTCGGTACCCGCCCTCTTCGTCTTCGACCGTCCCCCTTGGGGGTCTATTTTGGGGGTCTATTTTCCTTGCCTGCCGGGTGTGACTGGTGCAGCCCCTGAAACAGGGGAAGAGCGGACGGAATGAAGGGGGAGGGAGAAGGATGGAACATGGGATTAGCAGGAGGGCTCTCGAAGCAGGGCAGGGGGGATCATCAACAAGTATTCTTTCGAACTGAGAACTCAAACCCACCAACAACAATCATTTTAAGACTCCTCGTTCTTATTTGCTCGCGTGCCACTCAAGACGTCTATATCAAACCCTCGATACCCGCCCTCTTCGTCGTCGATCGTACCCCTTTAGGGTTATATCCTTCTTATCCGCAACGTGTATTTCGTGCAGCCCCTAAGGCAGGGGAAGTGAGGACTGATGGAAGGAAGGGACAAGGGCCAGGCGGGTTGCTGAAGCGTGCGCCCTGCATGAATCGCGAGGAAGTCTCGAGCGATAGCGCGATTCCAAGGTAAGTCGTGATGAACTCCGCAGCGAGAGCTTGACTCCTGAGTGTCGAGGGCCCGGCGCCGGAATAAATTGCGAGGAAGTCCCTGGCGAGGAAGTCCCACGCGAGAGCGCGATTCCTGTATCGATTGTGAGGACGTCCCGCGCGAGAGCGCGATTTAGAACTTATCCGTAAGGACTTCGCCCCCTGCCGCCGGCCCCTCGCTATCATAATAGGGTATAACAGAGTCGCGTCGGTGCGTCTCGGCACTGCCTTGGCGCATCTGGGAACAGCATGCGGGGGCGGGTAGGAGTCATCAGCGCATATTGAAACGTTGGCGTTATTGAAGACGCCTACGGCGAATCACCGCCGCCCCCTGCCTTCTAGAATCGCCCATGTGGCCGAGCGTTGTGGCAAGAGCTCTGCCAAGCTATCGGACCATGTGTTCCGCCAGCCGTTGTGGAAGCCCTTCGGGGAACACTTGGGGGAAGATGGCGGGGAAGATCAAGAGGCGGAGGAGGAGGTGAATGAGGAGGGGGAGGGAGGCGGTGGAGGAGGAGGAGGAGGAGGAGGAGGAGGAGGAGGAGGAGGAGGAGGAGGAGGAGGAGGAGGAGGGGGCATCCTGGTAGCTTCTGGGGACACTCTTAGGGCATCCTGGGAGCCTCCTGGGAGCCTCTTGGAGGCATCTAGAGGGCCCTCTTTGCGGCCCCTTGGGGGCCTTCGGGGGCTTCTCGGGAACCTCTTTGGCAGTCTTGGTGGGCTCCTGGCCCGACTGACGCCGTCGGAAGCCGTCTTGGGGACCTCTCTGGGCCGACTTGGGGCCCTCTTGGGGTACTCCAGGCTGTCTCGGGCCGTCGGTAGGCCGAACAAAAAGGACATTCTCCCGGCAAAGCAACCTAACAGCGATGTGTAGAAGCATATCTGGAAGCATTCCCCTTAAGATTTAGGTGAGAATCCAGTTGTAGAATTCTGTTGTTCTCGCAGTCGCAGCCTCAGCCTGCCTCGGCTTGCCTCGGCCTCAGCCTCAGCCTGCCTCGGCCTCAGCCTCAGCCTCAGCCTGCCTCAGCCTCAGCCTTAGCCTGCCTCAGCCTCAGCCTGCGTCAGCCGCAGCCTCAGCCTGCGTCAGCCGCAGCTTGCTTCAGCCTCAGCCACAGCCTCAGCCTCAGCCTCAGCCTGCCTCAGCTTCAGCCTCAGCCTCAGCCTGCCTGGGCTTGCCTCGGTCTCGGCCTCAGCCTGCCTCGGCCTCAGCCTCAGCCTCAGCCTGCCTCAGCCTCAGCCTCAGCCTGCCTCAGCCTGCTTCAGCCTCAGCCTCAGCCTCAGCCTCAGCCTCAGCCTGTCTCAGCCGCAGCTTGCCTCAGCCTCAGCCACAGCCTCAGCCTCAGCCTCAGCCTGCCTCAGCTTCAGCCTCAGCCTGCCTCGGCTTTGTTCAGCCTCAGCGTCAGCCTGCCTCAGCCTCAGCTTCAGCCTCGCCTGCCTCAGCCTGCCTCAGCGTCAGCCTCTCAGCCTCAGCCTGCATCAGCCTCAGGCTCAGCCTGCCTCAGCCTCAGCGTCAGCCTCTCAGCCTCAGCCTGCATCAGCCTCAGCCTCAGCCTCAGCCTCAGCCTCAGCCTCAGCCGCAACTTGCCTCAGCCTCAGCCACAGCCTCAGCCTCAGCCTCAGCCTCAGCCTGCCTCAGCTTCAGCGTCAGCCTCAGCCTGCCTCGGCTTGCCTCGGCCTCAGCCTCAGCCTGCCTCGGCCTCAGCCTCAGCCTCAGCCTGCCTCAGCCTCAGCCTCAGCCTGCATCAGCCTCAGCCTGCATCAGCCTCAGCCTCAGCCTGCGTCAGCCGCAGCTTGCCTCAGCCTCAGCCGCAGCCTCAGCCTCAGCCTCAGCCTGCCTCAGCTTCAGCCTCAGCCTCAGCCTGTCTCGGCTTGCCTCAGCCTCAGCCTGCCTCAGCCTCAGCGTCAGCCTCTCAACCTCAGCCTGCATCAGCCTCAGCCTCAGCCTCAGCCTGCCTCAGGCTCAGTCTCAGCCTGCCTCAGCCTCAGCCTGCCTCAGCCTCAGCCTCACAGTTGGCTCCGGGCAATCAAAAAGTAGCCTGGGAATGGTGTTCTGGGAGCACGAAGAACACGAAGTGGCCCACAGTTGGCTCCGGGCATTCAAAATGTGGCCCGGGAATAGAGTTCTGGGAACACGAAGAACACGAAGTGGCCCACAGTTGGCTCCGGGCATTCAAAATGTGGCCCGGGAATAGAGTTCTGGGAACACGAAGAACACGAAGTGGCCTACAGTTGGCTCCGGGCATTCAAAATGTGGCCCGGGAATGGTGTTCTGGGAACACGAAGAACACGAAGTGGCTTACAGTTGTCCGGGCATTCAAAATGTGGCCCGGGAATGGTGTTCTGGGAATTCGAAGACCACGAAGTGGCCTACAGTTGGCTCCGTGCATTCAAACTCATGCCCAGGAATAGAGTTCTGGGAATTCGAAGACCACGAAGTGTGTAACTGTTTGCTTAAATCGACTTCCGCGGCTTCTCCCCGGATCCTGCCCGGACCACCCTGGGGCGTCAAGACGCTCTCTTTTGACCCCACTAGAAACCTCACAGTCTTCGCTGTTAGGTAAAAATATTAAAATCCTTCCTTCGATGACTTTGGCCTCTTCGGGCCTTTCTGGGGGACCTCTTGGAGGCCTGCTGGAACGTCTTGGGCCATCTTAGGGCCATCTTAGGGCCATTTTCGGCCGTCTTGGTGGGCTCCTGGCCTGTCTGACGCCGTCGGAAGCCGTTTGGGGGGCCTCTTTGAGCCGACTTGAGGCCCTCTTGGAATGCTGCAGGGCCGTCTTGGAAGCTATCTTGGGCGTCTCGGAGGCCTCTTGGGCAGTCTTTGGGCCGTCTTGGGGCCCTCTTGGGCAGTTTTGGGGCCACCCTGGAGGCCTCTTGGGCGATTTTGGGGGCTCTTGGGCCGTCTCGGGCGTCGGTAGGCCGAAAAAAAGAAAATGCCAACATCCCTCCAAAACCTAAGGATGATGAATGATTTTGGCCTCTTCGGGCCCTCTTGGAGGCCCTCTTGGAGGCCTCTTGGGCCGTCTTGGGCCATCTTAGGGCCATTTTCGGCCGTCTTGGTGGGCTCCTGGCCCGTCTGACGCCGTCTGAAGCCGTTTTGGGGCCTCTTTGGGCCGACCTGGGGCCCTCTTGAGGTGCGTGGGCACATAGGCAGCTCGACCGAGAGCCCCAGTGGGACCGCCCGCATGCGTCAGCCACCACCCAGTACAGCGCTTCGTGGCTTCATAAGGGGGCTCCACCGAAGGCCCCAGTGGCACCGCCCGCATGCGTCAGCAACCACCCAGTACAGCGTTTCGTGGTCTCATAGGAGCTCCACCGAAGGTCCCAGTGGGACCGCCGGCATGCGTCAGCCACCACCCAGCATAGCGTTTCGTGGCCCCATAGGGACCTCCACCGATGGTCCTAGTGGGATCGCTCGCATGCGCCAACCATCACCCAGTACAGCGTTTCGTGGCCCGTTAGGGAGCTCCACAGAAAAACCCAGTGGCACCGCCCGCATGCGTCGTCCACCACCCAGTACTGCATTTCGCGGCCCCATTGATTGGGAACTCCACCAAGCCCCAGTGGCACCGCCCGCATGCGTCCCCCCCGCCTGGTACAACGTTTCGTGGTATACAGGGGGTCCCAGTGGTCCACCCGCATGCGACCCCCCACCCAGTACAGCGTTTCGTGAGCCCGAAGGGAGCTCCACCGAATGCCCCAGTGGCACCGCCCGCATGCGCACCCCCCTCCCAAAACAGCCTTTCGTGTCCCCATAGAGGCCTCCACCGAACACCGGCCGCATGCGTCGGCCACCACGCAGCACAGTTTTTCGTGGCCCCGTAGGGAG